GGCCAACAAGGTCCTTCATCAGCACCTTGGATGCCTGAAGAGTCGCTTATGATGGTTGCACAAGTCATGACCATCAGCGTTACCTTCATTGAAGAACAGCTGGCTCAAATGAATGAAGTGATCGCAAGGCTAACACAGATTGTTGAAGAAAAAGACTTGCAAATCGCTGCACTCGTCAGTCGACTAGAGCCACAGGACGGCGAGAACCCCAACCCAGAAGATGATCCACTAAAAAGAGGAGCTGGCGAAGAAGATAAGCCTCCGGTGGAGAGAATTGATGTGAAGCCCGAGCCAGACCAAGCAGCGGCACTTATGGGATCTATTTCTATCTAGCAGCTACAGGAGATGATCACCAACACCATCAAGGCACAGTACGAAGGGAGCTCAAATACCTCCGGGTTGTACTCGAAGCCGTATTCAAAGAAGATTGACGCCTTAAGGATGCCGAAGGGTTATCAACCGCTAAAGTTCATGCAATTTGATGGAAAGGGAAACCTGAAACAGCACGTTGCCCACTTTGTTGAAACTTGCAACAACGCAGGGACCGAAGGGGACTACCTCGCCAAGCAGTTTGTGCGCTTGCTAAAAGGAAACGTCGTTGAGTGGTACACGGACTTAGAGCCTGAGTCCATCAACAGCTGGGAGCAATTGGAGCGGGAATTCCTCAACCGCTTTTACAGCACCCGCTGCACTGTGAGCATGCTAGAGCTAATGAGCATAAAGCAGTGGAATGACGAGCCAGTCATTGACTACATCAACAGATGGCGCACTCTAAGCCTCGATTGTAAAGACAGGCTCTCGGAAACCTCTTCAATCGAGATGTGCATCCAAGGCATGCAATGGGGTTTGCAATACATCCTTCAAGGCATTAAACCACAGACCTTTGAGGAATTGGCCACTCGCGCCCATGACATGGAGTTAAGCATCGCCCATCATGGAAAGAAAGAACCAATCACCGACTACAAGAATGACAAAGTTGTTGGGCCAAAGGTGGAGAAGACTGCATGGAAACCCACCAAGGAAGCAATGACGGTCAACACAGCTCCTGTCAAAATCCCTACACGAGGCAAGGCGATTCAAGCCGAAGCTTTTCGTGATCAATAGATGCGTAGACGCATTTTGAAGGAGCTCGAAGAGAAGACTTATCCATTCCCCGACTCTGATGTAGTTGCCATGTTGAAAGACTTGCTTGACAAAAAGGTGATCGACCTACCTGAGTGCAGACGACCAGAAGAGATGAATCGTACTGATAGTCCAAGGTACTGTAAATTCCACCATTTCATCAGTCATCCAACGAAAAAATGCTTCGTACTGAAAGATCTCATCCTGAAGCTAGCACAACAAGGGAAAATCGAGCTTGACCTCGAAGACACGGTTGTGGCACACACTACTACTATCGTGTTTGGATCACTCGATCCTGTGCATCTTCGAAGCATGCATGACCATTCCCGTGAATGTTCAAGTCACACAACACCTCCTACACAACCATCACCAGGGGCAAGCAACCAAGATGCATCTACTAGTGATAAGGAATGGTGGACATCGGCGACCTACAAAAAAACAAGGAAGCCAAGACCACAAGCCACAAGGCCAAAAGATGAGCCTAAACCCGCCCTCGAACTATAGTCTTCGACAGGCTGAATCATTCAAAACCTAGAATTTCGGCACTTGATCGCATTAGTGGTCGAGACCGAACTTCCATCTTCAAAAGGCTTAAGACGCCAACATTGCAAAGATCTGTCTTTGAAAGGTTATCAAAACCCAAGAAACAAAACGGCACAGCTAGATCTCCTCCGCAATGGTCGGCTACGGACAGACTTGAAGAAACTAAGAAGCCTTCTAGAAACAGGAAGACAATGCCAAAGGAAGAAAAGCTCGACAGTCTAGCAGGAAAAGACGATGTTCAAAGCTTGATTCCTTCAAGGATGAAGCGCCAAACAGCTTTGGAGGTCGACACAAAAGGACCATTGAAGGTAATGAGGTGTACCATCACCTACACCGGCCAATCTTCACACCAACAAACCCAAAAGGACAGCACTGAAGAGGAGGCCCAAGAAGACAAAGAAGACGAAATCCCGGAAGAAGACGTCACTTCCGGCTTTGTCAACTCAAAATCTTCACCTCAATCGCTGAGGGTATGCTCCAAAACCATGCCAGTCAAGCCAAGTGAAGTTGAAGGATGGACTCATGTCACTCCGAAGAAACTGCACAAGAAGCATATGACTTCTCCACAAGTTCACCTATCGGAAACGGGGCAAAGTAACTTTCGCCAACTTCCAAAGCAATGTGAAAGTGTTGAAGATGAGGAAATTTCGACACAAAGATCGACCATGCGCGATCTCTCATTCCTCAGAAAATTATTCAGCTACTTGGTCAAGGCTCATTGCTATAAAGATTGCGAGGAACGCCTCTCCAGGCAGCAACCATCTATTCCACAAGTTCACCAATGGGAAAGGGGGCAAAGCAGCTTCTGTCAACCTCTAGAACAATGTGAAAGTGTTGGAGATAATGAAACTTTGACACGAAGATCATCCATCCCCATCACGATGTGTGACATCTTCCCAGAAGACTTCTTCAACTACTCAGTTAAGGCTCCTTGCTATGAAGATTGCAAGGAATAACTTTCCCGGATCGCTTGACAAACCAACAACGCTCCTTGTCTGCATGAGCTTAAAATGCGACACACCATTCTCTTTGCCCGCACGAGTCTAAACTGCATGTCACAAAGCTCCTGGTCTGCACGAGCATAAAAGGCAACATCAACGCTCCTGGTCTGCACGAGCATAAAAGGCAACACCAAATGCTCATTGTCTGCACGAGTTGAAACTGCAAACAACACCAACGCTCCTGGTCTACACGAGCATAAAAGGCAACACCAAGGCTCATGGTCTGCACGAGTTGAAACTGCAAACAACACCAACGCTCCTGGTCTACACGAGCATAAAAGGCAACACCAAGGCTCATGGTCCACACGAGCATAAAAAAGTGACATAACAAACGCTCATTGCCTTCACGAGCTAAAACTGCAACACGGCACAACGCTCCTGATCCGCACGAGCTGAAGCTGTAAACGGCACCAAACTCTCCTTGCCACAAGTTGAAACTGCAAACGGCACCAAACTCTTATTGCCACAAGCTGAAACTGCAAACGGCACCAAACGCTCATTGCCTGCACGAGTTAAAACTGCAAACAGCACCAAATGCTATTTGCCTGCACGATGAAGAAACTTCAATGACCGCCGTCAAACGATTAGCCGGTCGTGCAACTCGATGCTTTACATTTTGCCTTAAGCTCTAAGCCGCAACGGCAAGCAGCAAGGCTGTCTGCACCAGCTTCGTCACTCTGGCCACCATGCTCCAATCGACGAAGAAACTTCAAAGACCACCGTCAAACGACTAGCCGGTCATGAAGCTTGCCACCTTACATTCTGCCTCAAGCGCGCTACAGTAGCAAAGAAACCAAAATGCCATGCAATCGCACTACGCAACCCTGCAGCCATTACGCAAGCAGTTTCTTACACCGCACGGCGACGTCACCACCAAGGGAAAACTGTGATCAAAAGGCATTACACAGCGAAGCCCCGCTACAGTCTCTTGCACAGCACCATACGGCAGCGCACCACCGAGGGAAAACTGTGACCAAAAGGCACTACACAGCGAAACCCCTTTGCAGTCTCTTGCATAAACCCTAGGCAGCAGAAAGCACATATATGCCCACGTCCTGCTCACTCCAAATACCACGTCTCTGAAAGCTTCGTTAGGGTTCTAGCATCATGCTTTGCCTTCTCCAAAATTAAAGATTCCTAGCATCACATCAAAAAAAAAATATATATATATATATACATATATATATGATAATGTTTTATTAGAAAAGAAAAAGAAAAAAAATACATATGTTTTATGTATTTACATAAAAAAATAAAATAAAATAAATTATAAATAAATAAAAAAAAAAGGAATACATACGTTATTACTCATTTACAAAAAAAAAAGATTTCTTTTACATACATATACATATACATATATATATATATATATATATATGTATGTATGTAAGCTAGTGAGCCTAGCCACAAATCCAGGCCCAAGCTCCAGCTTGTCGCCCCCACTCACACTCTCAGATCACAAAGATCCAACGATCATCAGTCACCGAGAGTTAGATCTCTGCCTGGTTTGATCTTGTAACTAGGGCGAAAATGGAGGTCAATGAGGACGGCAAAACTCCACAACTCGTTCCTCACCTAGATCCAGGCCCTACTAAAGACCTGCTCGATCAGGGCGACTCGACCCGAATCTGGACCTTTCAGCTCGTCAACCCCATAAGAACCTCCTCTCGATCGCCACCACTGTGCAGAACCCATAAGCGCCGCAACCGACCAAGGGGATGAAGAAAGTCGCCATTGCTGCTTCGGTCGGAATTGTGACTCTCGGAATGCTCTCCGGACTCGCCTTCTTCCTTTACCGCCACCGAGTCAAACATCCGTCCGAGTCTCAGAAACTCGCCAATGGCGGAGTACCCAGTTCCCAGAGATTCACCGACAACTCGAGAGTCCCACCCTCGAGCTTCCTCTACATTAGCACAGTCGAACCCAGCCACACGTCGACGACGAGCAGCAAAGCCGTTAACGGACCAACAACTGTGGAATTGAATCGGTCTCCATATCACAGACTAAACTCTGTCAAAAGATCGAATCGGTACCGGTCGAGTCCCGAGTTGCAGCCACTTCCTCATCTAACCAAACCTCATCAGAACCTCAACTCGCCATCAGCTATGTCGTCTTCCGATGAAGAGAGCAACGAAACGGCGTTTCATTCGCCAAATTGCTCCTCTATTAGCTACGACGACAGCTACTACATGCCGAAGCAATAGACAGCCACCCTCGCAATGGGCATCCTTCTGTGCAGCGAGCATAGCAAACAGCAACGAGCAGCAACCACGTCGTCGACTCGTCCTCGTCCTCCTCTTCACCGCCTCTGATGTGCTCCAATACCTTAGTGGAATGATCCTCTTTGAGAAAACCCTCTACCAGAAGACTGCTTTAGGCAAGCCATTCGTTGACGTCTTGAAGGAAGGTGGTGTTCTCCCTGGTATTAAGGTCGACAAGGGTACTGTTGAGCTCACCGGAACCAATGGTGAGACCACAACCTAGGGTCTCGATGGCCTTACCCAACGTTGCCAGAAGTACTATGAAGCTGGTGCACGGTTCGCAAAATGGCGCGTTGTGCTCAAGATTGGCCCTAATGAGCCATCTCAGTTGTCCATTCAAGAGAACGCTAATGGGTTGGCTCGTTATGCTATCATCTACCAGGAGAATGGTCTAGTCCCCATCGTTGAGCCAGAGATCCTAGTTGATGGATCCCATTCCATCGATAAGTGTGCTGATATGACAGAGCGCGTTCTTGCTGCGTGCTACAAGGCTCTTAACGACCACCATGTCCTCCTCGAAGGAACTCTGAGAGGTTGAAATCTTTTCTGGGTCTGCATGGCACTTCACCATCTCGTCTGTCTTGTCCTCTGCAAGGCGGTAGAAAAAAAATGCAGTGGCTGTGCAATGGCGGCGTGCAAGGCAATAAGAACGCAGTGGCGGTGCAATGATTGTGTAGTGGCAGTGGCAAACAGCAACGGCGAAGAACTTCAATGACCGCCGTCAAACGACTAGCCGATCATGAAGCCTCGACTGTAGCTCTCCGTCCGTGGCAAACAGCTATGGCGAAGAACTTCAATAACCGCCGTCAAACGACTAGCCCGTCATGAAGCCTCTACTGCATTTCTCCGTCCGTCTTCGTCCTTCCCTACAAATCCCTCAGCCAAGCATCCTAATTTATACAGAAAGAAATACAATAAAAAAAATGTGGTGGAATCTTGGTGGTGCTGCACCAATCTGAAAAAAGATATAAAATAAATAAATAAATAAATAAATAATAAAAAAATGATGATGGTGCATCTGGCACCATGTGACAAAAGAAAAAGAAAAAAAAAGAAGTGGTGGGTGCATCCAGCACCGAAAAAAAAAAGGGGAAGTGGTGGTCCATCTGGCACCATGAGAAACATATGAAAAAATATATATATAAAAATAAAATGCATTTAGTGAAATAAAGTCCATCTTTTATTTATTTCTCTAAAATTACATAAATTCGCATTCCATATGCAAAAAAAAAAATATTTGTAAACAAACAGGAGGGAGCCTTCACGAAGGTTGCTCGTGTGAAGCCTCACCACTCGGCAAAGCTCCAAGAAGAAGAGGCGCCAGAGGTTGACTGTTTAAAGCCTCACCACTCGGCGAAGCTCCAGGAAGAAGAAGCACCAGAGGTTGACTATTTGAAGCCTCACCACTCGGTGAAGCTCCAGGAAGAAGAAGCACCGGAGGTTGACTGTTTGGAGCCTCAACACTCGGTAGAACTCTAGAGGACGAAGGCAATAAGTGCCTCTGGAGTGAAGCCACAAACATCTAATGGTCACTCTGAATCCGACCTTCAGATTCCTGCAGCTAGTCGAGCTTTCTCTTCATGCTCGTCGAGTAACTATTGGCAAGCATGTGCAACTCTCTGTTTTCACGCTTAAGCCTTCTAATCTCTTGTTTAAGACTCATCACTTCAGCCGCCAATGATTCAACTTGACGGGTTCGAGCAAATAGACTTTGGGCCATATAAGACACAGAACTTGCACACTGCACACTGAGAGCCAGAGAATCCTTAACAGCCAACTCATCAGACCGTTTGGAAAGTAGTCTGTTATCTTTGGGAGTGACAAGGTTCCTGGCTACCACCGGAGTGGTCATATCATTCTTCATCACCGAATCCCCAACGGTAAGAGGACCAGTAAGGGATATGAAGGATGGGCGCCATATGTTGTCTGGAGAAGGCGGGACTGCCTCTTCACCAAGGTTCAAGTCAAAACGACGGTCGGAGGGGCCATACATTTTCAAAGGTGTTGAAAGAAATAAGAGGTCGGACAAGTCAAGATCGTAGAAGTGCAAAAATGGAGTTTTTACAGGCAGAAATTCAAGTGTGCTTTGAAACGTCCTGCGTACCTCTATAAAAATCAGCACTCGATGGGATTTCAAAGATCGAAGAGGCGAACTCAGAAATCGAAGAGGCGCTAGCGTTCTCAAAAGCTGGGCTTGCTCAGAAACCACGGGCCAATCTTCTTTTCCAGATTTGTCCGCACTTGTCACATGCAACCTCTGCACTCGACGGAGCTCAGAAATCGAAGAGGCCAATTCAAAAATCGAAGAGGCAAGCTCAGAAATCGGAGAGGCATCTTGCTTTTCCAGACGCGTCAGCACCCGTCACATGCAACCTCAGCTTTGCAGAAATCACGGGCAATTTGTCGAAGCACCGATCCAGATATCGAAGAGGCACAAGGCTTTTTCAGCCTCGTCAACACCTGTCACATGCACACTCAGCTTGGCGGAAATTACGGACAATTTGTTGAAGATTTCTGATGAAGAAGAAAGCACGTGAAGCCATACTGATCAATCACTCAATGATTGCCGACACGAGTGAAAGAATAATACCTCTACAGGTATTAAAGAACTTCCTATAACTATCTACCTTCACCTTCCATAGCAAGGCAGACATACAGAACCTTTCTTCATCTCTGAGAATGCCTTCCCAGCGAAGCCTCTTGAGTCACTTAGTGTTCCTTATTCCTTGGGGTACCTCTGCAAACAAATGACATCAAAGCAAAAGTATCTCATATCACCACGGTAGAAAGCAAGAGTGTCTCATATCATGCTTTCTCCATGTCTTTTCCTTTGTCCTTGTTCTTACTTGCAAAGACAAGGATAAAGAAAGCAATATGCCAGAACCTCCACTCAAACCCAGGTAAGGAATTGACTACCTGGAACCTTGGCCTGGTTGCTTACATGGTATTGCACTCAGTACTCGTCTTCCACTGCTGCTGTACTTCCAAAGAAGCTGCCACATCTGCCTGAAGAACAGATAAGGCGAGTGAAAATGATACCTTGCAGCATATGGAGACAACGTGCAGAAGAAACAAGCAGAGAAGAATGCAGCCTGCACAGTCAACTCAGTAGAAGGAGTCTGAGTTGAGGAACTCGAAGAGATGCCACATTTGCCTGGAGAACAGATAAAGCAAGTGAAAATGATACCTTGAAGCATGTGGAGACAACGTGCTGATTTCATTCAAAATCGAGTCTCCCCTTCCCTGCACAATCGACCAACCCAGCAGAAAGAGTCTGAGTTGAATCCAAGAGCTCGAGAAGTTTCAACAACATATTAACGGCACCATCGCCGAAGAGCAAAGTCTCGATATGCAACACTGTCAAATCGCCACCACTTCTTCGAAAGCAAGAGTATTTCATATCATGCTTTCTCCCTGTCATTTTCTTTGTCCTTATTCTTACCTGTGGGACAAGGAGGAAAAAAGCAATTAGCCAGCACTTGGTGTCAAACTCCCAGTCAGGAACCAACTGCTTGGAACCCTTCCCTGATTGCTTACCTAGCACTACTCTCGAAGTACCCATTATCTCAACATCTTATGCTTCCAGAGAAGATACCACATCTGCCCGAAGAACAGATAAGGCAAGCGAAAATGATACATTGAAGCATGTGAAGACAAGCACAACAAAGCACGTGCCGATTCATCTGCTACTTCTTCAAAATCAAAAGTATCTCATATCATCAGGGTTGCAATCACTCTGGGTAGTGGACTTGTTTTGACCCTTAAATTCTTGGGTCGACTTGCTAGGCGTTGTGGGCTGCACGTGCCAATTCACCACCCTTGAATCAAATTCTTAAAGATCAAGTCACCGACTGGAAGAAAAGCCCATCAATCTTGAAGATCATACCGTTGACCAAACTGCTCAGGTGTGAATTAGAAAGATTGAACAAAGCAACAAGTCGTCACTTTCACCTCGTGCCTGCTTGCCATGTGTTCGAGTCAACCTCCAAGAATCAAGCCTCAACGGCCCTTGAAGAAGCTTCTAGCCAAATTCAATATCAAGCCTCGACGGCCCGTGAGGAAATCACAAGTCCGATTCAAGATCAAGTGTCTACCATCCTTGAATCAAATCCAGTTCAAGAATAAGCTGTGGAAAGTCAACAATTGGAGGAAACAAGAAAATCCTCCAACCTAGTTCAAGAATAAGCCTGTGAAAAGTCAACAATTGGAGGAATCCAGAAAATCCTCCAACCCAGTTCAAGATTAAAGCTGTGGAAAGTCAACAAGCGCAACAAAATACGTGTCGATTCATCCACTACCAAAGCCAAAAATCATCTACCACATGAAGCTCCTTGTGGTCCGATTTCAACCTTCAAGATCAAGCCTCGATGACCCTTGAAGACATTTTCAGCCCAATTCAAGATCAAGCCTCAACGGCCCTTGAAGAAATCTCAAGCCCAATTCAAGATCAAGCCTCAACGGCCCTTGAAGAAATCTCTAGCCCAATTCAAAAATCAAGCCTCGATGGCCCTTGGATCGACATCTATAATAAGGGACTTCAAAACGCATCTCCTACACGTGACAAGCACATGTATACGATGCGCCTTGAAGTGGGGGCATTTGTAGACATCGAAATTTTGGTAAATAAATATTGATCGATAAATCAAAGTTTCAACGCTCATGTATTACATAAATTTTACACGTAGCGTGTGACTCAACGAAAAATTGAAATGAGTCAGAAAAGTCATCAAACAGGACACGTGTCAACACCTGGCAGAAACGACTTATCATCTGAAATATTATATTCAAAATTAGGCTTTGGAAAATTCTATAAATAGAAGCCAATTTCATTCATTTGGGAAAAGGAATTCATATTACACCTTGAAGCTCTGAAGCTCTGAAACTCCGAAGCTCTCAAGCATCCAGGTTCCCGAAGAATCAAGAAAGCCTTCTTCATTCTTCGTTCATCGTTCTTCCAAGGTCAAGCCCCGACAGCCCTTGAAGAAAGTGTTCATCGTTCATCATCCGTTCATCCCGAAGAATCAAGAAAGCCTTCTTCGTTTTTCGTTCATTGTTCTTCCAAGATCAAGCCCCGATGGCCCTTGGATCAACAATTATCCACCTTCAAGATCAAACCCCGACAGCCCCTTTGAAGAACTTCCACCAATTCAAGATCAAGCCCCAAAGGCCCTTGAAGAACTTCCACCAATTCAAGATCAAACCCCAAAAGCCCTTGAAGATCCGTTCATCACTGTTCTTCAAAATGAAGCCCAAAAGCCCCTTGAAGATTTGTTCATCACCGTTATTCAAGATCAAGCCTCAACGGAAGAAACGCTCATCCTCAATATCAAGCCCCAACGACTCCTTAAAGTTCCGCTCAAATCCACCTTCAAGATCAAGCCCACGGCCCTTGAAGAACGTTCATCCTTAGATCAAGCCCAACGGCCCTTTGGATCAATCGCACATCCACAAATCAATACCTTACGGAGATCGAATCAGATGATCAAATTTGAGAGAAATTGTAACCCAAAATCATCAAATACAAATATTATTTTGTGC